TCTCATTCAATGTTATCTTTCTGTCAACGTTTTATCACTTTCAATATATTACCACACTCAATGTATTATCGCACTTGCAAATATCACCACTTTCAATGTAGTTGCGTCTTCGCCTTATTGTGCCGTGTGTGTGTGTGCGTGTGTGTGTGTGTGTGTAATAAATCATTATATAACACCATACCTCTGTCAAATAGGCTTAAGATCGACCTTTGTAATAAGAATTGTAATTCTTTTCATATACAATAAATTAAATCATCTGATTATTATCTATTTAGTTTTTCTTCCCTATCTCAAAACTTGTTTTTTTGCACTTAGGCACTTTATAATTTCCACTCAATTGGAGTTTTATTTTCAGATGCTATAGTTCAAAGAACGATTCGCCATTCAGAAGACTCCGACAAAGTAGTTAAGCCTAGAAAGAGACAGAAGCATGCTAGCAAACATCATCAATGTGAGATATGCCAAGAGTCCTTCACCTCTTCAAAACAACTAAATAAGCACAGATTGAAACACCCAGGCGTAAATCCATTCCCATGTGGCTGGTGCCAAGAAACATTCACAACTAGAGCTAAAATGAGGAGTCACAGGAATATTCACATTGGAAAACCTTATTCCTGTAATTATTGTCCGAAAACCTTCCGAAACGCCTATGATAAAAGTTTGCATGAGAGAGCCCATAACGGAGGCGTGAAGCCATTCCAATGTGAGAGCTGCGACAAGTCGTTCAATTTCTCCTCGGACTTCATACGTCACAAATTCGTGCACACTGGCGAGAAGGATTACTCGTGCGAATATTGTTCCAAAACGTTCAACCGCGATTCTAATAGGAAAATTCACGAGAAGACACACAAGGAGGTAGGACCTCCAGAGAGGAGATGGGAATGCGAGTATTGTGGCAAAACATTCGCGCGAAAAGATATACTCACTCGTCACAAAAAGGTGCACGATTCTACAATAGCAAAACCCTATTCGTGCAAATATTGTTCCAAAACGTTTACTCGTAATTCAAATCTAAAATTGCACGAGAAGAGACACACTTATGGTGATGAGGAGACAACTCCTACACTATAAGAAAACATTGGAGTGCAAGTGCTTATGATGATGAAGGTATCTCCAAATTTTAAGAAATCTATCAAAATAAACTCAGTGAGGGATGGAGGTTATAAAATATAAATTGATATATTAAATAGATTCAATTCCGAATTGTTTTGTAGTTTTATTCACTATCTGGAAAACTTTGTAAGTGAAAGCTTCTCGCGCCCACAACAAAAACATGTTTTTCTCCGAATGACATAGAAAGCGGTTTTTTAATGATATACTTTACCGGCGAAAGTTGTTCTTTCTCTACCTAGGCAGGAAAATGTTGTTGGCTATGCAACGTTCCAAGTAATAATCCAAATCAAATTGGTAATCAAAATGTCAATAACTTTGACAAAAAATGATGGATTATATTTGGATTTTGCGTGAATTGGACGAATTTGGAGAGAAAATAACATAATTTTCCCTCCAAATTCGTCCAATTCACGCAATATCCAAATATAATCATTTTGTGTCAAAGTTATTGAAATTTTCGCCAGAACAGCAGATTTAATGCCTTTGCTGATAATTCCTTTCAGCCGCAGCATTAAATTTTGTGCTTTCCTGCCTAGTTGAATGAATATCTATTTTCTCCAAATGACATTGAAAGTGGCTTTTTAATGACACTGGACGGGCAGAAAATGTGTTTGTTGACATGCAACGTTCCATCAGCCGCTGCATTGAATCTTGGTGCTTTTCTGCCTAGTAAAATAAATAGGTAACTATTTTATTTACTGTGTTGAATAGTGATGGTGCCTCAGCTGATGAGTTGAGAGAGTTGTTTCCACGTCAAGTTAATAGAAAGGTCCAACGGGTCCATAATAGAGATGAGCCTATTTCCGGAAAAAAATGTGTACTCAATCTTCACTGCGAAATTGTGAATTACTGCTGGATTTTTCAATAGTTACTTGAAGACACTAATCAAACATTCACTAATTTGAGAATTGCATTTGATTGTATATGAAATAAGGAATCAATTCTTCGAGATTTTGCGAATTAACGCCGGTATCGGATCGACTAAGAGCGGTTCGCCCAAGCTTTAACCTGTTTTACCGTCTGGACTAAATCCTCTATTGCAATAATATAATGAGATATATGAATTAAAGTTTTCTTTCCAGGTGATCGGATCGAATACGAAATTCAAAAAGCCAACTTGGATGAAAGCGAAGTAAAGCCTGGAGAGAGATTAACCGGTGAAAAAATATTCCCCTGTGACTTCTGCTTGGTCGTTTTCACAACGAAATCGAAACTGAAGAGTCACCGATACATTCATACTGGCAAACCCTATTCATGTCAATATTGTTCCTTGAAGTTCCCTAACAGTTATGATAGAAGTATGCACGAGAAGAGGGTTCATAGCGGTGAGAAGCCATTCCAGTGCGAAAGTTGTAATATATCTTTTAATTTTTCCTCGCACCTCGATCGCCACAAATTGATACATACCGGCGAGAAATTCTTCTCGTGCGTATATTGTTCCAAAACGTTCAACCGTGATTCAAATCGGAAAATTCACGAAAGAACCCATGATAGCGATAGGCCTCAAGTGAGACTGGAATGCGAGATATGTTTCAAAACGTTTGCGAGAAAAGATGTTCTAACTCGTCATAAAAAAGTGCACAATACCTCATTAACGAAACCCTTTTCGTGCAAATATTGTTCGAAGACTTTTACACGCAATTTTAATAGAAAATCGCACGAGAATAAACATTTGTGAAGGTAATATACCTACGTGTGGTAAAGAACAAAGAACCATCTATTACTGAAAATTGGAAAATGAAATATATATATCAGAAGAAAATTGAAAATCCTGTGAATATAGAAAGAATCTCATGGGAACTCACTACTCAAGTCACTGCTCTTCTGTGGTTCTTCTAGGTACCCGGTACACTCATGGTACACTGGCAAGTGGCAACTCTGGTAAACCCTTAGATCATACGGAAATTTCAGATTCAAGTACCTTGCCACACCTCACCATGTCATAAGTCCGAAGTATAAGTATAAAGCGAATGTTTGTGTGTATGTCCGATAACGAAATAACGAAAAGCGCAGAAGCAATTAAAAAGAAGAACAGTTTTACAGGTTAGAGTATGTTTTTTATTTTTTAGTGGGTGGAGTTGGAGAGGAGAAGTGAAGTCTTGAATTTTTAATAACCCCTAAAAATGAAAACGTAAACTGTGGGTTTAACTTTATAAAATTAAGGTAAAACGATTATACTGGGACAAAATCATAGACATACGTTCTCTTCTCTAACTTGAATACAAACAGCTGATTATTATGGAGACGACTGTTATTACCAATGGAACAACTGAAGGATCTTCAGATACTTTAACTGGCATTGCACTGGAATATCCAGAAATAAAAAAAGAGCAGGACTGGGAAACTCTGAAAGGTGAAGTAATTGACTGCCTTCCTATAACAAAACATGAAGAACTGGTTGGCGTGAAAATTGAAATGTATGAAGATGAAAACATTCCAATGGGTACTTTAGGACAAGCTGAAAATGACATAAAGAAAGGCTAGTGTTCTTAAATGAAGAAATATAAGAAATCAATTCATAATATATTTTTCAGATGGTGAATCAAACAAACATGATCAGTCCCTATGCAAATTCAACTGTACAGAGTTTGCAAGCTGCCCCATGTGTACTTTGAATATCTTACCCCAGATAACAATTGCCAGTGAGGAACCTCAAGAAACTCATACATGTGAGGTTTGTCAGAAAACATTCGAATTCTATAGCAAATTGAAAGCCCATCAGAAATGTCATTCCAATGTAAGACCTCATAAGTGTAAATACTGTGACAAAGCATTCAAGAAAACAGATGCTCTAGCAGTCCATGAGAGGTCTCACACAGGAACAAAACCATTCAGTTGCAAGTTCTGTGGAAAATGCTATACTCACAAATCAACATTGACAACTCATGAGAGAACTCATTCAGGAGAGAAACCTTACAGTTGTGATGTTTGTCAGAGAAGGTTCAGCTCCAGAGGACTCATGAAAAACCACAAAACATCTCACTCCACTGAGAAACCTTATCAGTGCAATTCTTGTGATAAAAAATTCAAGCAGAAGGAATCCCTGGTGAGACACCTGGGGAATCATGCTGAAAATAAAGAATTTTGCTGTTATTCCTGTGGTAAAATGTTTGGAAATAGACTGTCTTTGAAAAATCACCTTAGTACTCATTCAGTGGAGAAACCCTTTGGTTGCAAGTTTTGTGAAAAAAAATTTCGCAAGCAGCCACAGTTGACTCTTCATGAGAGGGTTCATACTAATGAGAGACCTTATGGGTGTACATTTTGCAAAAAACGCTTCAAAAGGCCAGATGCCCAGACTTTTCATTTGAGAATGCATACTGGAGAAACACCTTTTCACTGTGATAATTGTGGTAAAGGTTTCAAGAGGAAACAGCAAATGGAAGCCCATAAGCAAAAACATCATGGTGAATGATTGAGGAAGGCTAGGATATTGTCTTCTAGTGCCATATGATGCTGATTAATGTTTTATTTATTGATTATAATTGGATTGGAAACATTCAAAAACCATTTACATTGCACCATTTAGTATTTATGAATTATTGTATGTGTCTATGAATATAAATACAACCACAAATAGAAATTCTTTTATCAGTAACTGAATTATTGATTTTAATTATTGGATTCAGTTATTTCAAGGTATTAAAGCACATTTTCATTTAATATCATATTTATTTATATATTTAGAGAATTTCCTTAAAGAATTCTGTGTATTTTTTGATTCATTATACAAATAATTATTTTTAATCTAGAAAAACAACTAAGTAATAATTGTATTATTTATTTAGTATAAGTGCATTGCCTCTTGAATTATTAATTTATATAATAATGGTTTGTTTGTCTTATCATCTGATAATCAAATCAGAAATAATATTTTCATTTCAATCAGTATAGTGCTGTGATATAAATTAGCACCGATCAATATTCTGATGTTTATATATCAACAAAAATGGAAAAAAACTCAGAATATTGCCAAGGTGAGTACAGTTTTGAAATTCTTAAAGAGAAATCAGAAAAAAAAATCTTTTTGGTCATTCACCCCAATGTATAGGAAAACGTTCATTATTAGGGAAGACATTATTTTTGATTCAACACTTGAATAAATCAGGAATAATCGATAAATTTATATGAATGATAACGAAACTGAAAACGTTCAGAATAATTATTATAATAAATCTCATATCCAAAGTGATGATATTTTGAAACAGAAAAATTTGCCATATAGCAGACAGCCTTGTAGCAAGTGGTCAATAAGATTATAATGAGAAGAATATCGCCTTTTAGAGCAGAAGCCACAAAAAAAGAAGATAATTTGACAGAACTGTCAACACGTGTTTGTCAATCTGTCATCAAAAACATTCCAAAATCTCAATCATTTTTAAATCGTAAATAAAAAAAATGGTTTTTTGAAATGGGTAATGCAGGCAGTAACAGTGGTTCGCGAGAGAGGCCGAAACACGGAGACATAGTGCCGCCTTCTCCCACGAAAGATGGGCAAGCCTTCACCTTCGAGAAGAGACCTGAGAACAAACTGATCCTTCAAGGATCTCAGGAGGACGAGGAGCCTTATTTCACGAAGCCTGCCGTTAGTTATGATCATCCTAGGCCTAGAGCAAACACAGGTGAGCCATGGATGTATTATTTATCGAGGGGCATTCTGTGGTGAAAATTGTGTACACCTGAAAGCAGTGACAGTGACAATTAATGATCCTGCTACTGCTTAAACAGGTTAACACCTTGTAGAATCGTCTCAGCTTCATGGCAAGTGAGGTTGGTCAAATAATAATAATAAGTAACTCAAATACAATATATGATTTGTTAAATAACAAAAAGTTTTGTCACTAGATTTATTCATGTGATTTGATGATTCATTCCCTAACCTTTCCACTGTAACAGGAAATAGGAAATAAGACTTAAATCTTGATCTGGGTATAATTCTTTTATAATAAACGGATGGATAACGAGGTCCAGTATCCAACAAACTAAAAGAATTAATCATAATTACTCAAATTGTTCAGGATGATAACTATATTTACAAAGTCAAATTCCTGTGGGTGAATTTTTGAGAAACTCCTTAGGAAATTGCTCAGGAAATTCATATCAATACATAAAGTTCAAAAATATCCAAAGAAATTCAGGGAATCCAAGTAAAGCAAGCAATAATTTGATATTTGTTTTTTATTCTTGACCCCCTTAATAAAAAAAATGGTGCGCCTCTAAAGTTGACAGTTTTATTTATTTTTGGTTGATCTTTTTAAAGAATGTTTTAATATTTATTGATTTTTCTACTTTTTATTTTTGTCTCCCTTTTATAAGGTATGCACTCAACTGTATCTATCAGAATTTCAATCAGACTACTGAGAGAAAATGCAGGGTTGCCGCTGATTGAAAAGTTATGACAAAACCAAGAAAAATGTTTTATTTTCGGCAATGTCTGTGGTCCCCCTCTGGAAAGAGGTGAAAATGCTCTTTTACAACGAGCGTGCGCAAAGTAGTACTTTTCCGCACTCATTTGCGTGCGCAAAGTAATACTTTTCCGCACTCAGTGCGGACATGGGTGTTATCCGCACGTAGTACGGAAAAGTAAAACTACCCAAAAATCTTACTGGTATGCTGGTATGGAACATTTATATTCATTTTAGTTGCTGTAGACTATTGTATGCACTATGATAAGACGTTTTCCCTTTCAATTTTCAACCGATATTTCACCTCAATATAAATATTTGGAACAAATGATTCAATTTTCTATCATTATATTTTATTGATATGTAATTGTTTGTTGTTTAGCTATTTCTATCAAGTTTAACTAAAAATTATTCAAAAATTGTAATTTAGATTGAAATATTTTTATTTTCATTGTTATCTGATATGAAGCTCCTAGGGAAAGTGTGATTTTCTATTATTAAATTTTATTGTTATATATGATTGTTGTATAGTTACATTTTTCAATAAGTTATAATTTTTATTTATTTTTTTTTTCTGATGATATGAAGCTTGTAGGAAAAACGTTGTTCCTAACACGTGCGCAAAGTGTCTTTTCGGCACGCAAAAATTTATTCGAACTCAGCTCCGCGTTGTTCGCCTAACTGTATTTGCGTGCGGAAAAGTAACAATTTTCGCACAGTCAAATAACTATTCTGGTGACTGATAAAATATCAGCATTTTTATTTTTGACACTTGATAGGGGTACTGAAAAACAAATTGGCTGTACCTTCGGAGACGCAATTTTCTTTTCCAAGTTTTTTGTGTTTTTAACAATATTATGAGATTTCTCATTTTTGGCTCCTTAAAAAAAGTCTGGATGCACTTCTGATGACACTAATTTTTTCCATTTCTGGAGGATTTTGACAACATTTCGGGATTTCTAAATATTTTAATTCAATTAATGCGCCTCTGAAGTAGTAATTTTCTCGTAATTTTCATTACCTTATAGTGGTAAACCGTGGTCAACATTGTGCACACCAAACTTCAATTCCCCACAGAATTTCAGGGAATGGGGAAGTTTCCTATATTGAGGTTCTTATTTCACTGTGAAGTGTATGCTTTTTTTCGTAAGATCAAATTTTACTTTAGAAAAAAATAAAATAAAAGAGTAACTTGGCTCCTCCACCATTCCTATGACGTTCTTTCTGAAATTCCACATTCACACAGAGTTAGAATATGATTCCTTGTGCCAGTACGACGTTGCCGACATCATCAATATGTCTCTAGATTTCCGGAAATTGTTCTTTGAATGCATAATAACTATATCATAACAGCAATGGAATATAATTGGTTCTTCAATCCTACTTTGACATGTATTATGAATAATTCCCATAAATCTCTCATTTGCTGCATGAAGTTGATTACTAATAAAGATAAATTATGAAATTTTGCGATAGTACCTATCTATAATTTTTCACTATCGTTGTATGTTATTCATAACTCGTCAGTCATTTTTTTTTGCTAATGAATTCATTCCTTAATAAAACGGATCTATTTTCTAAGAAAGTTGCAGATTATATCTTGCACCAGTGCCTAATACTTTGAGTCCGTCCACACCACTCAAAATACTGACAGGTACAACAAGAGGAAGGAGCCATGGTTGTCGGCTTCATTCTGTTCTGACCGATGGCAGTAAATTAGGAAGGATAGTATCATTGAATGTAGCCGATAGTGATTCATTGATTCAATGATATTTTTGTTTAGGATCGAGCTCTATTTGAGATATTTCAATGCATAAATAACAAAACCATAACCTGTCAGAATGAAGCCAACTACCTTTTGCATTCCTGCTCCGAGTGCATTTGTTGTTATGTGTATTTTTGGTTACCAGTTTAACTTCTTCTATTTTCTTCATTCATTTTTCATTCCTTAGCTATTCGCTAGCTATATTCTTCACCATCAGCTATTTTCAGACTAGATTCGGAATGTACGTGTCATAGTTTGCCACCCCGAAAATTAGAAATTGCTTTAATTTGAAAATTAAAACGACTTGGACTTTATCGGTCGCCTATCTGTACAGCGTGGACATAAAGCTGGAGAGTTCCGAACTTATTTTATGAAAATTCCTCTGAAGGAAACTTCCCCATTCAAGACCTTCCAGCGGGCGCACTGTCGTAAAATTTACGACAAACACGTTTAACCCATTAGCGCCGGAATTATTTTTTTCATTTTTTCTCTGAGATTTTATGACCTTCAAATAGTGTGAAAGCTTACGAAAGAGGAAAATAATATACGGGAACATAAATGGTATTCAGGTTTTCCAAATATATGCTGTTGCCATACGGCACCACTAGGCGCTTGTGTTACAGGTTTTGGGATATATAAGTACATTGACAAACATTACATTTTAAACACATTGTCGTTGTCAAAATCCAGCTATTCTGCATGGCTTTGTCTAATATCCAAGTGATTAGGGGCCAGTATGAATTCCTTTACGGTAACAAATGAATCAACAGGGGAAAAGGGGGGAATGTCACAATATAGTGAAAATTGACTTGACACCGCCTATTATATCCCATTGCTGTTATGATATAGTTATTATGCACTCAAAGAACAATTTCCGGAAATCTAGAGACATATTGATGATGTCGGCAACGTCTTACTGGCAGGGGGACTCGTATTTTAACTCTGTGTGAATGTGGATCATCAGAAAGTACGTCATAGGAATGGTGGAGGAGCCAAGTTCCTCTTTTACTTATATTTTTCTGAAGTGAAATTTGATCTTACGAAAAAAATAAATAATACGTATACAGTGTGGACATTTAATTGTGCAACATATGGGAATCTTTTTAATGCATTGGTTGGTGCATGTTCGGTAATCATTTGAGGTGCACTTAGAATGGTTGCAAGTCAAACAGCATACAGGGTAAGTCAAATAATTTTAGAATTGCTCGAGAGTAAAGTACCCTCATTTCAGAAAATTCAGTCAAATGTTATTGAGAAAAGTTATTGACAATTGAACGTTATGCCTAAATACCAAAGCATGGCCAATTCTTTTCGTTAATAATTTCCCAATTTGTTTGTTTATATTCGCCCTAAACTCTCATGAGTTAATCACAACAAAATCGGTTTTTCAAATTCAAGAATATTTGTGCAATCAACTTGGATTTTAACTTTTTTAAGGAATCATAAACTTTATGTTTGTTGCAACGATATTCAGCTTAACTTTAAAATTTCGCAATCCATATTTTTAACAAGGTAAAACATCATTAAATGAGAAGTTAATGTCACCAAACTGTCTTAATGTTTACTGTCAACCCTCATTTGATTTGTTCCTTGGGTATTCATGATTATTTTAATTGATATCATGGTTGTCGATTGATTTGTACAGCTTTCTCATAAACATTTCAAATACAAAATGTTCACATCAATTGAAAGTTTTTGAATTAGCAAATTATTATATTCATATACCTCAATCGCATATTCGTGATTAGGTTTTCTCAATTCAGAATTTCTTTCCACGTTCTCTATGGTGAATATCAATTTATCATACATCAAAAAAAATCCATTTATGTTCCCATATATTTTGTTCCTCTTTCGAAAGCATTTCACACTATTTGAAGGCCATAAAATCTCAGAGAAAATATGAAAAAATAATTCCGGCGCTAATGGTTCGAGCGTGTCTGTCGTAAATTTTACGACAGTGCGCCCGCTGGAAGGTCTTGCATTGTTTTTCGTTTTGCATTAGTGTCGGAGGGCCCCCGCTCGAAAGAAACCAAGACTCCCACGGTGTTCCGATGGGAGGGGGGCGGCAGGGAAGTGTCCATCAGCGACACCTTCCCCGACTGGAAGGCCATCCCGATGGTGAAGGGAACAAATATCTGGCAACCGCACAATCTAGTCGGCCACACTAGTAACATACAGTGGACCAAAATTTGGGAATGTCTGATCCTATTCAATTGTAAATAGTTCCGTCTCTTGTGGATAATAGATCTATGTTCAAAGAACAATTTCCGGAAATCTAGACATACATACATATTGATGATGTCGGCAACGTCGTACTGGCACGGGGAATCGTATTTTAACTCTGTGTGAATGTGGATTATCAGAATGTACGTCATAGGAATGGTGGAGGAGCAAAGTTTATATTTACATTCTCCATGTGATGAAAATATTAATTCTTTCTCGGTTTATTCAACAGAAAACAACTACTTTCCTGACTATATGCCACGGCGTATATTGAATTACATCTATTGAACATACACGATAAGAATTTGAAAACAAAATCCTCTGAAGTAGAAAATTTGCATTCTCCTTCATATAAAGATATGCACATAATATTATTCTGAATAGTCAACAGAAAACAACTACCATCCTGGCTATTTGCCAATGTTTGACTTAAATGTATTTGCTATCAAGTAATTCAATTGTCTAGTCCCATAATTATGGACTGTATTGACTTCATTGAAAACAATTTGATATTTTCAATTTTTTCCTGGCAAAATGAATGAAGCAACATATTTTGAGTTTATAAAACGAAATCAGGTTCAGAAAATGTCTAGTTTGTATAAATGTATCGTTGGTTCTAGAAAATGTAGATGAAAAATGCACTCGATTGATTTGTAACTTCATTAGTGGTTTCAGACTTGAAATATTTGTACTCCCCCAAATAGAAATTAAATATTGCAAATTTGAATGAATGAGGCAAAAGTAAATACATTTCAACTATTTGATGGGAATAATATTTCGGATTTTGAATAAAATGCCTATGATCGGATTTATTTTATTTCTCAAATGGTCTATATGTTTAGTCCATAATAATTTTTCGTCAATATAGAGACCTTAAGTTAAAATTTTTTCACGTCTGTATATTTATCTATTGTTGAAAGTTATAGCATTATTCGAAATATTAACTAATCTCTTCATATATACATATATGAAGATTCGTTATAATTAAGAGTCAACTTATGAAGATGATATGTTTTCCAAATCATCCCGTTCGATATCATTTAATTCTTTCGATATAAAAATCAATGTTTTATCATCCGCAAGTAATTTTAGCTTTCCTTTCAATTTCAGAGTTGATATTGAATTTATATAAATTGAAAATAAAATTGGTCCCAGAACTGATCCTTGCGGTACTCCACATGTAATATTCTTTAGTGAGCCAGAAGTATCATTCACTTCAACATACTGCTTTCTATTTGTCAAATAATGTGTGAACCAATCATGAATTCTTCCTCTGACACCGATTGAATATAATTTATTTAGTAAAATGGTATGATCTACACTCTACAGTGTCAAATGCCTTACATAGGTCCAAGGACAAGAAGCCACATTTATAATTTTCATCAATCAATCGTTTTGCATTAGTCTCGGAGGGCCCCCGCTCGAAAGAAACCAAGACTCCCACGGTGTTCCGATGGGAGGGGGGTGGTAGAGAAGTGTCCATCAGCGGCACCTTCTCCGACTGGAAGGCCATCCCGATGGTGAAGAGCCACGGTGATTTCGTGACGATCGTGGAGTTGCCCGAAGGCGAGCACCAGTACAAGTTTCAGGTGGACGGCGAGTGGAAGAACGACAATGCCAATAGGATTGTCGAGGACGAGGGAGGGGCGAGGAATAATCTCATCGTGGTGAAGAAGTCGGATTTCGAGGTATGGTTTTTACCTTTTCTTTGAGTATTTTTTCAAGCCCTATATTCAATAGTTTAAAAAACAAATAAGTTGCCCATAAGGAAAACAAAAGTCGCATGGTTAATCTCTGAAACCAGTGAAGATACAATTTTTCTGGCATTCCCAACTTCTTTTTCGTGATGAATTATCTGTTGACGCAATATTTAATTTTTTTTCTCGAATATTATAACCAAGAAAACAAATAAAAGCGACATCAGTCATTTTGAGGTTCTCCAAAATAAACTACTCAACACTAATTTCGTCGCACACCAAAATGTCGCCCCTGTTATAATGTGAACAACTTTTTTCAGTTCAGAACAATTTGAATTTGGTTCACACTGTTCGATAGCCCAGTTCTTCAGCTATAATCTCGTACTTCATTGAAACATAAGGGTATTCACATAAAATCTCTACATGGTGTTTTCCGACACTGTGCGAAATTTCGGAATATTCAAAAGGCTCTCAAATGGTGAAAACATTTTTTTTCTCAACTTCGACAACAGATGCATGAAGATGATCTCATTAACTCGAGATATCTCGCGAATCAACTTCCTATCTCTCTTATTTACAGAGTGATCTCAAAAAATCAACTTTTTGGTTTTGCAGCCATAACCTTTTTTCACGTCAAGGGATTTTGGGAATCTTAGGTTCATTTTGAAGATAAAACTTCAGATGAAGAGATCTGAATATCAGAATTGACTCAAGATGGCTATCAAAGATCTAGAGTTGTCTTGAAAGTGACCCAAATCTGGAACGCCCTTCGAATTTTGGTTGGGAGGAGAATTGAATGAAAATCAACTTGTTCTCGGAAAAACAATTCTTTCTGGATACGTCCATATTTTCCTCGCTCTCAGTAGTCAAGAATTGTGCGTGAGAAAACACAATTGAAACATGTTCCTGCAAAAACATTAGATCATTTCTGCTCTGTAATGCATGGCCCGCCGTAACCAACGTTACAAGAATCACAATGAGTGACTGACAAACCCGACCAGCTGAGACGCATCATAAATCGTGTACCAACAAGAGCAACGGATTTTGATTTTTTCAATAAAGTGATTTTTTCAACAGTTGTCACGTACATAACATGCGATTTAAGAATATAGAGAAGTATTCAAGCAAACAACGTTTATTTATTGTAAAAACGCATTTCAAAAATGGTGAAAGTTTCACGAAAACAGTTTGCCAATTACGTAAAGTTTTCAGTAGCAATAATGCGCCGAACGAATCGACAGTTATAACCAAACAATTCGTGTCGGAGATAAGCCCTTTGAATGGATTGGACTGTCGTGTTTAGCAGATTTGCGATTTGGAGGAAAGATAACCCTTGTTCTCTCATTTGTGAAATCAGTTCCAACTGGTCGGGCGTTAGATGCGGCATCGAAAGTATCAAAATCTGTTTATGATTCGAAAACGACGTCTAACCTGACTTGTCAGTCACTTACTGTGATTCTTGTAACGTTGGTTACGGGCCATGCATTACAGAGGAGAAATGGTCTGATGTTTTTGCAAGAACATGTTTCAATTGTGTTGTCTCACGCACATTCTTGAGTACTGAGAGCGAGGAAAATATGGACGCATCCAGAATGAATTGTTTTTCCGAGAACAAGTTGATTTTCATTCAATTCTCCTCCCAACCGAGATTCGGAGGGCATTCCAGATTTTGGTCACTTTCAAGAAAACTCTAGATCTTTGATAGCCATCTTGAGTCAATTCTGATATTCAGATCTCTTCATCTGAAGTTTTATCTTCAAAATGAGCCTAAGATTTCCAAAATCGGTTGACGTGGAGAAAAGTTATGGCTGCAAAACCAAAAAGTTGATTTTTTGAGATCACTCTGTAAATAAGAGAGATAGGAAACTGATTCGCAAAACATCTCGAGGTAATGAGATCATCTTCATGCCTCTGTTGTCGAAGTTGAGGAAAAATTTTTTGTCACCATTTGAGAGCCTTTTGTATAGATTTTATGTGAATACTCTTATGTTTCAATGAAGTACCAGATTATAGCTGAAGGACTGGGCTATCGAACAGTGTGAACCAAATTCAAATAGTTCTAAACTGAAAAAAGTTATTCACATTATAACAGTGGCGACATTTTGGTGTGCGACGAAATTAGTGTTGAGTAGTTTATTTCAATACTACCTTTTACCCGCAGCTTCGCTCACGTCTCTCTGAACATTGTCGTTCTGGATGACAACCTAGTTAGGTAGTTAGTAGGCAGGAGCTATAATATTGTCTGTTCATTGAAAAGACAAATGAAGAAAATATGTAGTTCAGAGACATCTACGTGAATTAAGTAAACTAAGTTATTCATTTTTTATTCCTAACCGTAACATTTTTCATGGTCCTGTCAAGTTTGTAAATAAAAATCTGTCATGTTGAAACCCGAAAATGAAACATTATCACGAAAGATATTATCAAGTATGAAAATCATCTACCTATACTTGAATGGAAGCAGGAAGATGTTTAGGAAATGCTGTATTAGTATGATTTATGATGCAACTTGAATTTAAGTTGGAACTGTGGAAACTTCGGAAACTCAATAGTGCTATTACACTTTTTCGACATGCAAGCCAAGCAGAAAGGTAGGGGCTGCTTATTTCCTTCTATATTTTTGATAAGTTACTATATAATTCATGAAATTCCATTATTTGCAGTGAAAATATGTCTTTAGTGATGTAAAATTTCAGGTACCTACCTACAGGGAGGAGTAGTTACATTAATAGCTTTTCAGTTGAAAAACGAAAAACTATGATTGATGTGGAAGTATCACATTAGAAATCATTATGTGAGAGATGTTCAGAAGGAATGTACCAGAAGGATGATGATGTTCGAGAACAGAATGGAAAATTTACCATCTGAAATAAATATATAGAAGTGTGGGATTATATGGATAGAAACTGCGTATGAACGAACGAACTTTTAATGGAAAACTTAATCCGTCAATATGACAACTTGACAACTTGAATTATTATTGACATTGTCTTGATCTGTTCACTTCTTTTCATACATGGTGTTCGGGCTTGAGTCCCATCAATTAGTTAGGTTGCCACAAGAAGCACTAAGGTTAGACTCAATCTGGTTATTTCATCAATGTCTTATGGATATTCTGCTCCAAACACAAAATATCATTATATTTTTTATAGATAGGTCCTTGAAAGTCGAGCTGCAAAAATATCCAGTTCACAAATGGGGCAGTGAATAAAATCAGAAACTTTTCATCCTGTAGTTCGATGAGCTGAATCCAGATAGTAAGAACAACGATTTGTTTGCTGGAAATAGCCAGTCCCCAGCATTTCATTCTAGGCTGCAAATTATACACACCCCAATGTATATTCAATTTATCTATTTTTCAAACAATCAATTAGATGATGAGGAACATGTGATATTCCACTCCAGCACACTCAGGACCATTTTCGTAGTGAGCCACTCAGAATTTCACTAGAGTAAAATGATTTCAAGATTGTATAGGAATCATCCTCAGATATATGGTATTCTATTGTTCAGGGTTCTTTGTCAAGTTGCTGGGATATTTAGAATTTTTTATTGGAATATAACTTGTATGTATGAATGGCAATACAAGTTTTTTAATAAATTGTACATAATTATGAAGAATTATTTCAATTTTTATTCTACTATATAGTTTGTTCTCTTTTGATACCCTGTTCATTGTTTGAAAACACTATATATATTGTACCAATATTGTATATAGGTAAAGTATTTTTGAAGTGAAACAATGATTATTTTTTATTAAATCATCTTATTGAAGCTACGAACTTCACTAAATATGAGAAGATGTGTCTATTATTGCCACAAATTAAACCACAGGAATATTCAATACCAATAATATTTTTATCTTTTTAATTTATATTCAAGTCAACATTCTGAATGAACTTTATCATTATTTATTATCATTCTATAATATCTGTTCAAATGCCCGTTTCCTCCTCAGATGCTTCTTCATCGTTAGGTCCTGATCCTTAAGGCAGGAATTCCTCTTCAGCATCATATTCCAAACAACATTGATGAGTCTGAAAATATAAAAATATTGTCCCTAGTTTCAATGTCCTGTACCATTCTGAAATGAATTTAATGACTTTTGACTATGGAACAACTTTCAAAGGAACCAAAGTCAAGTTCTTGGTAAATTTCATACCGAAACTAATAATTAGTTAGTTAGTATAGGTACAAACTTGTTAAATACCATTTTATTTATATATTCCCACCTTGAACAAACTTGGAACCGTACTCTCTTTCCAAAACCGTTTCCTATTCTTCATTGGCAAGAAACAGTTCCCTTAAAATGTTGGAAACATATAGTATCATGTTCGCTTACTTCAAAAACTCACATTCCTGAAATATAAATATCATTAAGTTTCAAATATTATGCGATTCAAGAAAAAAAGTTCACCTTGATATCCAATGAATATGGCGTGAACCCATTGATGCCTCAGGATTTGAGGCTCAAAATCACAACAGTGGGGATTGGGGAAACCATGTCTTGATAATACAATAATTACACCTTCACCTCCTGGAGTGCGCAGTTTTCAGATGACATTGCAAAATAACACAATCGCACCAATACTAGAAGAAATGATTAGGTATAATTGTAATTTCCAAGAAAGGGAATCAAAGTTCAACACATCCACAAAGACGAAGTTATAAGTTAATGACAACTGTCAGAAAATAATTTTATGATTACATGAATCTTCTTCATCGTCTTCCTATCAAATATCACGTCAATGATAGAAAGCACGTCTGTGGTTGAGTACATATTGGAGAAAAATAGAAGAAGAGAATATCAACCTAATATGGTCTATTTTGACATAAACAAATGAGCTCTTTCCAATTTCTCTGCTTCAGCGCCACTTGACAGACAGACATATTTTGATTGAATGAACAGACAATATTATACCTCCTCGCACTAGGTCGCCTACTAGGTTTTCATTTAGATCGACAATGCTCTGAAGATCATTACATTCCAATAGAAATAAATCAATGGAATTCAGTTTTTAAAAATCACTACATACAATGACATTTAAAAAATTGGAACCATGCTTTATTGAGATAGTTTACTACAACAAAAGTTAAAATGTATTCCACTACAACAAAAATAAGTTACTTATCGCACCTTGTCTGTAGATGGACCAATTCAAACGTCAATGCCATTCGTGGTCAAGTTACTGAACAGTATACAATCTGAAGTATCTTCCATGTAATAAATTTGCGCCGTTGTAGTGCCCACTTGACACTTGATATTTGATGAGATATTCGTCGTATTCATTTCGTCATCTAAATAATCCGAGACTTATCAGTCCCAAAAATGATGGAAATAAGTAGATGGTGCGCGTACTCGGCCATTTTTACTATGATTTCTCTAAGTCACATCGAACGAGACATTGATTCTACATTTTCCCGCTAGATGGTGATGCTGCTATTGCTGCTGTGACGAGTGGAAATAAAATGGCAAATGGCAATTTAGGTACGCGGAACATATTTAACAGTGGGATTATTCAACTCTGAATTCGAGAAATCTGCGGCAATTTGAAAATTGACAGATGTCATAATTTCTTTTTGTTCTCGGGACTCTCGAGAGGTCGTGAAGGATTTCTGAAACAAAAGCGCATCAGTAGGTACACCATACTAATTTCCATCATTGTCCCAAAAGACGTATTCTAATAATTAATATCTAAGGTACCGATCGAGGCACCGATGTATAGAGTATGTATAGAGTCTTACCCGTCGTACAAATATTTCTCTTTTTTCAATAAAAAGTATTCCATGTCCTCTTAAATACAAGTAAGAATATGTATATGTCGGCGTCAAACAGTGAAATCCGTCATTCTCTGGAATGCCTAGTCATTTCACGTATTGCCGGCAAACAGCGTAACTCTAAATTCCCTACACCGTTCGCCTAATAGTTTCAGGCATTCCCTGTAATGCCGGAAGGAAGATTCATTTAGGCCGAGTCAGCTTTGGTTGTTTAGAAGCAGTAGTCTCTTCGGTTCTCTCAAGTAATTTTCTGAAAAATATAATTTCTAGGAAGAAGGTTCATTTAGGCGGAAAAATAGTCTCCCTTCTTATGCATATGCAGAAAGGATATTTTCCTTCCTCAATCCTCTGGCAAACAGAGTAACGACTGAAAATGGAAGTTTCGCTGTCACGCTGTTTGCCGACAATACGTGAAATGACTAGGCATTTCAGGGAATGACGGATTTCACTAATTGACGCCGACATACAGTGTCTTTCAAAAGTATCGGGACGGCCTCATATTTCAGGAACGGCTTGAGAAAAATCCACGAAATTTTCTACAGGGTGATTATTGATGATGTCCGATTCAATGGTGGCATCGGCAATGTTGCCAAGTTTACAGTTTTTCAGATATTAGGAGTAACTTTATTTTTTCAAATGGAATACCCCATTTATTTTCATTGCAATTAATTAAGCGCCTCCCAATTACTTGAGTCCCTGAATATCAGATTCGTAATTAACGTGATTTTCGAAATATGACAACATAGCATTTTCGTTTAAAAGTTCTGGAACGGTCCCATATTTCAGAAACGGCTCAGAGAACAGTTTTTCAGATATTCAGGGTAACTCAATTTTTTCAAATGGAATACCCTAGTTGTTTCCATTGCAATACATTCAGCGACGCCTCATTACTTATGTCTCCAAATATCAGATTCAAAACAAATAGGGTATTCCATTTGAAAAAATTGAGTTACCCTGAATATCTGAAAAACTGTTCATTTGGCAACTTTGCCGATATCACCATTGAATCGGGCATCATCAACAACCATCCTGTCGAAGTTTTCATAATTTTTTTCTGAGCCGTTTCTGAAATATGGGACCGTTCCAGAACTTTTTAACGAAAATGCTATATTGTCATGTTTCGCAAATCACGTTGGGTGGCCAGGTAGCCGTGCGGACAGAGTGTCTATATTCTAATTCGCATTCGCTTGCCGGTCGTGGGTTCGATCCCCGTCGACTGCAGAAATTTTTCTGATGGCCCAAGAAAGTGTTTGGGATCACACGTTAAAAGGTAAGACCCCCGTCATTCTTTGCTCGCACAAGACTTTCGAAGACTTTTGAGGGTTGCTCGTAAGGGGGCAACCGAATGACGGATAGAACAAATTTTAGAACAAATTTTAAATTTTTCTAGAACGTTAATCACGGATCTGATATTCAGGGACTCAAGTAATTAGGAGGCGCTTAATTGATTGCAATAAAAATAAATGGGGTACCTATTCCATTTGAAAAAATAAAGTTACTCCTAATATCTGAAAAACTGTAAACTTGGCAACATTGCCGATGCCACCATTGAATCGGACATCATCAATAATCACCCTGTAGAAAATTTCGTGAATTTTTCTCAAGCCGTTCCTGAAATATGAGACCGTTCCGATACTTTTGAAAGACACTGTATACAAAATTTCATGATAATTGGTTGAGTAGTTTCGACGTGAAAGCTCGACAAACAAACTTCACATTCACATTAATAATGCTAAGTATTCTCCATTTTCAAAGTTTCCTGTTGTCTGTTAGGTCTTTCAAGCTCTAGCCAAAGATAGTGAAAATAAAGTGGACAACGCCCAAAAGGAATTTGGTCAGGAAATTCCAGCCAACAAACCATGGGAGAAGACTACTGGGCCTCCTATTTTGCCACCCCATTTGTTACAAGTTATTCTCAACAAAGACACACCTCTATCGGTAAGAAAAACATGAAATTTTCATCAAAATCACACATTACAAGAGAAATAAACCACAAGAGAATAATGAAAATATTCTGACTTACAATATGATAGAATTCTGACTGGTGTCAATTTTACAAGGCATGTCAAGATTGTGACATAAATCAAGAGAATCTCAGAATCCTGACAGATTGATGGGTATGTTTCACATCTGTGAGTCTTGTATGTCAGAATTATAACTTAAACTTGACTGGAATCTCAAAAATGTCACTTCTTAAGTAATCCTGACAATTGTCTCAAAATTTTGATATGTACTTCGAATTTTGAATATTTGTTTCAGTATACGGACTTTCATGTAAAAATTCTGTATTTTGTAATGGATTCTCGAATTTCTAATGAAAATTGACACTTTTTGCATAAATCTTTGTTTCTATATTGGAAAATGATGCAGAGAAATTTTGTCCTTGGGACATTCAACAAATACGCCTGGTATTGAATTTCCATCCGGAATTTCCTGACTTCTGCAGTCTGTTTTAAATCACTCATTTTGAAACAACGATCATTGAAGAATATCACTCAACTCAATATGTTGTCCAAAAATCTAATAATGAGACGAAAACAGTGAAAATAGATAAACTACCACTGATGGCAGGAAATACTCAATATATTTTATTTCAGTTCAACTGAATAAACACAGATGTCGCACGTGTTGACTTCGCGAATTTCGATTCTTTTCTTGCCACCTTTCATCACCAGTGTCAGAATTCTCATTTTTTTATTTCTGGATCCTGAAATCTACTTTTATCTGCGAAATGATCCTGATATGTGTCAGAATTCGACTTGTAGGTTGACATGATAACATTTGTATCAGAATTCTAACATTAGTGCTAGAATTTCAAATTCTAAATCAAAATTCTGACATCTTTCTCAAATCCTGATAACTATGTCAGTATTTCGATTTGTGGCTCAAACCCCTGACATCAGTGTCAGAATTCTGATCTCTGGGTCATGAAATCTGTGTGAGAATTTCGACTTTTTCTCTAATTCTGTATCCGAATTATGACATTTGAGTAAGAATTATGCATTTAACATATCTCAATCCTGAAATCGGAGAATTTCGACTTTAACCTGTGGAATAATCCCGATATATATGGGTCACAATAGGTCACGTGCACGATGACCGACCCGAGGTACAGAGTAATACTATAAGTATTTCAAAATGTTCCGGTTATACATCGTTAACTTGTTGCATAATTACAAAGAGTGTCAGTTTGACAGCTGAAATAATCCGACCGCGAAGTGGGAGCAACTGACACGATTTGTAAATATGCAGGAAGTTTGAGATGTTTAACCTTGAATAGTATAGGTCGCGTGAATATGATTTTTCAGGTAAATAGTAATCTCACATAGTTTTTTCATTATGTAATTTTGTCATTTCTTATTGAAATTCCTTCTGCCACTTTTGCATTAGTAGCTAATGATACTGCTAATAGATTGAAAATGTCTACAACACACACGATCATATTTCGTCAGACCAGTCCTCCCGTTCGATTGCATGAATCCAATCTTGCATTCTTTTAGAAATTTCGCGAGTATCTCCTATAAGCTCCTATTGCAGAAGGAATTCCGATGAGAAATCAGAGAAATTACCAAATTTCAAAATGGAAACTATATGTGAGTGACTATAGTAGGTACTTACTTTTAAATCATTATGTGGCAACCGGATTCCTTCGTCTCTCGCTTCATTTTTTGTGCATTGTACAACAGCACAATGTGATAGCATGTGCGAATTAATGAATAGCCGAAAAACACGATTCGTATGCCAAAATAATTGCGAAAAACTATTTCAATTACCAGGGTCGGTCATCTGACAGTTCTTGCACGCAACCCATTCGACTTGAATTATAATTCTTTTATGGAAATTTCTCGGAATATGAGTCAGAATTTTGACTTCGAATATCAAAATTCGTTTCAGAAATCTGACTTATACCACAAGAAATTCTCACATGGATGACTGAAATTTACCCAGGAAATCGATAACAAAACAATTATTTACATATAGTGAGGACTAAATAAATGGTTCATTTTTCAGTGTGAACCGACGCTCTTGCCAGAACCGAACCACGTGATGCTGAACCACCTGTACGCCCTGTCCATCAAGGACGGGGTCATGGTGTTGAGCGCCACGCATCGATATCGAAAAAAATACGTCACCACGCTGCTGTACAAGCCCATTTAGCGACCATGCGTCGCCCTGTATATATCCCACCTCTTTTTCGTTCCCGAGTCGCGGCTTCCGCTGCGTTTAGATGACACGCCCTGTATATTTGTAGATACGGCTTAGCGATGTTTTGTATTGATGATTTGTGATAAGTATTAATAAACGATGTTTGTTGACCAGAATGGGGTGTTTTAATTGGAGGTACAGTTGTGTACATAAAGAATAAATCGTACAGCAGTTATCGGCTATTGTGAGTCAGGCTTGTCAATCTTGATTAATCTTTTTATCGACTTTAACAAGTAGGTAGTGTCAAATTTCAACGCGCAAATGTGTACGTGTACTACTTTTTAATGAAATCTGGACATCATAGGCACCATACTAACATTGTACGACTACTAGAGAGCAGTGCTTGTACTCCGCACTAGGGCATCCCTTAAGGACCCTGTATATCAAATTTGAAGGTTCTACGACAAAGTTGATTTTTGGGTCTGAAAAAGAAACAAGGTTAACCCCTTTGAACTTTTTTCAAATATTTCGAGGCGTCAGAATGAGCTGAAAACTTGAATACAGGACGTTCTCGATGTGCTGAAAAAGAATCTGGAGTCGGTATGATTTTATCTTACTTGGTTTCCGAGATATTTGCATTAAATATGGAAAAAATAATTCAAAGTATGACTATAAATGATGGTAGCAGAGAATTTCTTTTCGTGGACAAAATACGTGGATTGATTTAGTTCCGCCGCCAGAAATTCAATAGTTCTCATGACATCCATATCTCCAGTCAATTGAGGTACTAGAACGAGCCGTTTTGTATTAATGTTACCGAAAGCTGTGCTTGTACTCCGCACTAGGGCATCCCTTAAGGACCCTGTATATCAAATTTGAAGGTTCTACGACAAAGTTGATTTTTGGGTTTGAAAAAGAAACAAGGTTAACCCCTTTGAACTTTTTTCAAATATTTCGAGGCGTCAGAATGAGCTGAAAACTTGAATACAGGACGTTCTCGATGTGCTGAAAAAGAATCTGGAGTCGGTATGATTTTATCTTACTTGGTTTCCGAGATATTTGCATTAAATATGGAAAAAATAATTCAAAGTATGACTATAAATGATGGTAGCAGAGAATTTCTTTTCGTGGACAAAATACGTGGATTGATTTAGTTCCGCCGCCAGAAATTCAATAGTTCTCATGACATCCATATCTCCAGTCAATTGAGGTACTAGAACGAGCCGTTTTGTATTAATGTTACCGAAAGCTGTGCTTGTACTCCGCACTAGGGCATCCCTTAAGGACCCTGTATATCAAATTTGAAGGTTCTACGACAAAGTTGATTTTTGGGTCTGAAAAAGAAACAAGGTTAACCCCTTTGCACTTTTTTCAAATATTTCGAGGCGTCAGAATGTTCTGAAAACTTGAATACAGGACGTTCTCGATGTGCTGAAAAAGAATATGGAGTCGGTATGATTTTATCTTACTTGGTTTCCGAGATATTTGCATTAAATATGGAAAAAATAATTCAAAGTATGACTATAAATAATGGTAGCAGAGAATTTCTTTTCGTGGGCAAAATACGTGGATTGATTTAGTTCCGCCGCCAGAAATTCAATAGTTCTCATGACATCCATATCTAGAACGAGCCGTTTGGATTAAGGTTATCGGAACTTTATATGATACAGAGCTGTGCTTGTACTCCGCACTAGGGCATCTCTTGAGGACCCTGTATATCAAACTTGAAGGTCCTGCGACAAAGTTGATTTTTGGGTCTGAAAAAGAAACAAGGTTAACCCCTTTGAACTTTTTTCAAATATTTCGAGGCGTCAGAATGAGCTGAAAACTTGTATACAGGACGTTCTCGATGTGCTGAACAAGAATCTGAAGTCAGTTTGTTCCTATCTCACTTGATTTCCGAGATATTTGCATTAAATATGGAAAAAATAATTCAAAGTATGACTATAAATAATGGTAGCAGAGAATTTCTTTTTGTGGGCAAAATACGTGGATTGATTTAGTTCCGCCGCCAGAAATTCAATAGTTCTCATGACATCCATATCTCCAGTCAATTGAGGTACTAGAACGAGCGGTTTTGTATTAATGTTACCGAAACTTTATGATAGAGAGCTGTGCTTGTACTCCGCACTAGGGCATCCCTTAGGGACCCTGTATATCAAACTTGAAGGTCTTGCGACAAAGTTGATTTTTGGGAGTGAAAAAGAAACAAGGTTAACCCCTTTGAACTTTTTTCAAATATTTCGAGGCGTCAGAATGAGCTGAAAACTTGAATACAGGACGTTCTCGATGTGCTGAACAAGAATCTGAAGTCAGTTTGTTCTCATCTCACTTGATTTCTGAGATATTCGCATTAAATATGGAAAAAATAATTCAAAGTATGACTTAAATATGGTTGCAGAGAATTTCTTTTCGTGGGCAAAATACGTGAATCAATTTAGTTCCTCCGCCAAAAATTCAAATATCTCCAGTCAATTAAGGTAGGTACTAGATCGAGCGCCGTTCTATATTAAATTTACCGGAACTTTTTTATTTTGCATGATAGAGAGCAGTGCTTATTCTCCGCATTAGGGCATCCCTTGAGGACCCTGTATATAAAATTTGAAGGTCCTACGACGAATTTGATTTTTGGGAATGAAAAAGAAACAAGGTTAACCCCTTTGAACTTTTTTCAAATATTTCGTGGCGTCAGAATGAGCTGAAAACTTGAATATAGGACGTTCTCGATGTGCTGAACAAGAATCTGAAGTCAGTTTGTTTTCATCTCACTTGGTTTCCGAGATATTTGCATTTATTATGGAAAAAATAATTCAAAGTATGACTAAAATATGGTTGCAGAGAATTTCTTTTCGTGGGCAAAATACGTGAATCAATTTAGTTCCTCCGCCAAAAATTCAAATATCTCCAGTCAATTAAGGTAGGTACTAGATCGAGCGCCGTTCTATATTAAATTTACCGGAACTTTTTTATTTTGCATGATAGAGAGCAGTGCTTATTCTCCGCATTAGGGCATCCCTTAAGGACCTTGTATATGAAATTTGAAGGTCATACGACAAAGTTGATTTTCGGGTACGAAAAAGAAACAAGGTTAACCCCTTCGAACTTTTTTCAAATATTTCGTGGCGTCAGAATGAGCTGAAAACTTGAATATAGGACGTTCTCGATATGCTGAACAAGAATCTGAAGTCAGTTTGTTTCCATCTCACTTGGTTTCCGAGATATTTGCATTTATTATGGAAAAAATAATTCAAAGTATGACTAAAATATTTTGTTCTAAAAAAAAATTTGTTCTAAAATTTGTTCTATCCGTCATTCGGTTGCCCCCTTACGAGCAACCCTCAAAAGTCTTCGAAAGTCTTGTGCGAGCAAGGAATGACGGGGGCCTTACCTTTTAACGTGTGATCCCAAACACTTTCTTGGGCCATCAGAAAAATTTCTGCAGTCGACGGGGATCGAACCCACGACCGGCAAGCGAATGCGAATTAGAATATAGACACTCTGTCCGCACGGCTACCTGGCCACCCATGGTTGCAGAGAATTTCTTTTCGTGGGCAAAATACGTGAATCAATTTAGTTCCTCCGCCAAAAATTCAAATATCTCCAGTCAATTAAGGTAGGTACTAGATCGAGCGCTGTTCTATATTAAATTTACCGGAACTTTTTTATTTTGCATGATAGAGAGCAGTGCTTGTTCTCCGCATTAGGGCATCCCTTAAGGACCCTGTATATCAAATTTGAAGGTCCTACGACGAATTTGATTTTTGGGAATGAAAAAGAAACAAGGTTAACCCCTTTGAACTTTTTTCAAATATTTCGTGGCGTCAGAATGAGCTGAAAACTTGAATATAGGACGTTCTCGATGTGCTGAACAAGAATCTAAAGTCAGTTTGTTTTCATTTCACTTGGTTTCCGAGATATTTGCATTTATTATGGAAAAAATAATTCAAAGTATGAATAAAATATGGTTGCAGAGAATTTCTTTTCGTGGGCAAAATACGTGAATCAATTTAGTTCCTCCGCCAAAAATTCAAATATTTCCAATCAATTAAGGTAGGTACTAGATCGAGCGCCGTTCTATATTAAATTTACCGGAACTTTTTTATTTTGCATGATAGAGAGCAGTGCTTATTCTCCGCATTAGGGCATCCCTTAAGGACCTTGTATATGAAATTTGAAGGTCCTACGACGAATTTGATTTTTGGGAATGAAAAAGAAACAAGGTTAACCCCTTTGAACTTTTTTCAAATATTTCGTGGCGTCAGAATGAGCTGAAAACTTGAATATAGGACGTTCTCGATGTGCTGAACAAGAATCTAAAGTCAGTTTGTTTTCATTCCACTTGGTTTCCGAGATATTTGCATTTATTATGGAAAAAATAATTCAAAGTATGAATAAAATATGGTTGCAGAGAATTTCTTTTCGTGGGCAAAATACGTGAATCAATTTAGTTCCTCCGCCAAAAATTCAAATATTTCCAATCAATTAAGGTAGGTACTAGATCGAGCGCCGTTCTATATTAAATTTACCGGAACTTTTTTATTTTGCATGATAGAAAGCAGCGCTTATTCTCCGCATTAGGGCATCCCTTGAGGACCTTGTATATGAAATTTGAAGGTCATACGACAAAGTTGATTTTCGGGTATGAAAAAGAAACAAGGTTAACCCCTTTGAACTTTTTTCAAATATTTCGTGGCGTCAGAATGAGCTGAAAACTTGAATATAGGACGTTCTCGATGTGCTGAACAAGAATCTGAAGTCAGGGTGTTTTCATCTCACTTGGTTTCCGAGATATTTGCATTTATTATGGAAAAAATAATTCAAAGTATGACTAAAATATGGTTGCAGAGAATTTCTTTTCGTGGGCAAAATACGTGAATCAATTTAGTTCCGCCGCTAAAAAGTCAAATATCTCCAGTCAATTAAGGTAGGTACTAGATCGAGCGCCGTTCTATATTAAAGGACCCCGCACGGTTCTTATGGAAAATGGGTCCCAGTCGAATTGGCTCAAAATTTGGTGAAATGTAGTTCATGATGTCCTGATCAAATGTCTCCATGGTCACACTAAGATCTAATGGACAGTTTTTTAAATACAAGGGGTTAAACATGCGGAGGCAGGTTGTTACTTACCTTTAGAAAATCAGTTATGTGGCGATTACTTTGTTACAAAGAGTCAAGGATAACAAATTATAATCTTGATATTGTCGACACGAGTTGTAATGAAAAGTTATCAGATTCCGTAT